CGTATTTTTTCGTAAAATTTGGTTTCGAAAAAAATTCGAAGAAAAAATTTTTTTCATAAAGCGTACATATTTTTTTCTTGTAGGGTTTATCAAAAATTCTCTAACAAAAAATGTCTTAGAATTGGTCAAAGAATATTATCAAATTTTTCAGATTTTTTTATGACGTTTTTCAAAATTTCAATTTCACGATTTTTCAAAAAATCAAAAATCGTTTCAGAACATTCTGAAAAAATTGGGAGTAGTCATTGACCAATTCTAAAACATTTTTTGTTCTTAGAAAATTTTTGATAGTCTATCATTTTCGAGCAAAAAATTTGTAAAATTAAAAAAAATCAATTAGGCCGCCATTTGGTTTTAGTAACAATTTTTTAGACCTTACTAACTTTAATTATTTTAAGTTTAGACATCGAGGCCACGATCTGAAGAGGTTTAAGTCATAAAAAAATGAAAAGGGAACGAAAAGTCATTAAAAAAATGCACGGGAAATGCATGACTTTTTTTTTTGGATTAATTTTAATTTTTTCCATGGTCAAGTGTTTTTTAAGAATTTTTTTAACCATCATCATTTGAAAGAGCACCCTCAAAAACATAGGAAATGGTAGTTTGGAACTTTGTTTTTCTCAAATTCATTGAATGGCATCAACTCGAACTTCATTGTCGAAATTTTGTCCTGTGGGCGTTAATTGGTTAAGATGAAGTCGTCATAAAAAGAAGTCGCATGGAGTAATATCGCGTCATCTTGATGGAAGTTCATGGTCTACATTTAAATTAATTAATACTATCTTGAAAAAAATGCCTAAAAAAACTCACGTTTGAAAATATCTTTGTTGTAGTTCTACATCATCAAGATGGTTAAGAAAAGGTATTAAAATGTCCCTTCCATACCTTCGTCCATTGAGAGTACCATTAAAAGAATGGTCAAGAAATTCTTATTCTACTAATAGCAGACCAAACACAGATTTTGTGTGAATGTAGAGGAACTTCGACAAAAAAACATCAAGCCTCAATGAACTCCACATTCTTATATCTAATAGCTTAGGTATCCATTCAAGGTGAAAGCAGATTTGATCAGAAAAAAAGAATTTATAAGAACGTTTTTCAACGTCATCTAAGGATAGAAAGACGGATGACCGACAGTTGACACTAATAGTGACAGTTGTACAAACAGCACCCATAACAAGAAACCACATCTAACGATATTAAAAAAAAATCAACATCAAAGTTCGCCAAGCAAAAAATGCATTTCTATTCTTAATATTAAGTTTATAAACTTATTAAATTGTCAAGGCTGTCACATAATGTGATAGCCTGTACTAACAATGTAAGTAGCAAGCTTTGAATAAAACAATGCAAGGAAAACTCTTACAAACTCGATTTATTTTCTTCGAGTTTTGGCAAGAATGAGTTATTTTGATTAGTGGTGGCTCGTGGGTGTGTTACATGGGTGGGCACAGGGTGTGTCAGTAGGATTACTTATTAGCTACCAATGCCGCCGCAGCCGAAAATTTTTAAAATTTTCAAGGTCATGCGTTCTACTGACACTTCAGAATTTCAATGAACAATTCTTTTATACAAAAAATATAGACTTTCATAAGAATAATTTTTGGGATTTGGTAGCTTTTTGAAATAATATTTAATCACGAATATTGAGGGCATAAATATATTAAAATAATGGGTTGAAACATGTGAAAAAAATTGATATAGGTATCTTACCGTTATTTGTAGAGGAAATTTTATCCACATTTTAATTGTAACGTCTTATATTTTCACGATAAGCACTATCAAGCTGTTGCCGTATGTCTATCTTTCCCAACACACTAAAATCTAAGATGTTATGTAAATGTTTTTCATTGTAGCTAGCATGTTTCTTAGCTCGTTCATTTAAATGTTTTAAATCACTCACCCCTTCTTGAGTCCATGCACTTCGGTTGCCACCCATCACTAAACAAATAAAACAAAACAGTTTGTTTCTTTTAGGACACCCACATAACCACTTAAATCTGTCGTAGACACTACTATTAAAATTTCGTGAATAATTTCGCGACTTTCCTACGTCTGTTTTGGAAATAATCAAATCGGGTATCGGCCTTCCTAACCGTTTAATTTACGTTCGGATCTCGTATGTAATATCTTTATTACTCAATAAAAAGTCCACCGAATTCATTTTGAAACGTTTCACAACCAAAAACAGTAAAAACACACTTCTCAGCGAAGAAAATAAAAAAACACTAAAAACGGTCACTCAAGAAGTGTGACCCGTTCAGCTGATTTATCGACGTCGTATGTCTGCAATCGTCGCCAAATTTTACCAGTCACCGAAAAAGGCCGATTAAAAACGAGGGCTGGGAAATTGTGTGCCCACGCGCGCGAAATGCAAGGAATTCAGAGTACGGTAAGTACGATCAGTGCTCGATCGATAGTCTGTCATATATACATATGTGATAAAAATCGTTATTATGGTATAAAAGGAATAATAATAATTAAAATATGAATAGTTTGTCGTATACAATTAATTGATATTATTGTACCAGTAATTTATAGTAAATTAACACAAAATAAATATTTTCTATTGAAATTTGGGCTGGGCACGTGCCCCTGTTCCCTTTATCACCAGTCGCCACTGATTTTGATTAGATCGGAATATTTTCACCCAAAAAAATATGCAGCTTTGCTTTCTCCCCTTTATTAATGGGATATCCGTATGTTTTACTGAAAATTAATTATAACCTGTTAATACTGCTGCAAAGCTAGACGCGAATGTAACCTAACAAACGCGAATTAAAGTTGAGATTTTAGTACCCACCGCATGCATATCCTCGATAACATCTGAAGTGACAGGAATTATCGCTGTACATTTTAAGTAGCTTACAACTTGGCACCACTATTTGTTTTCCTACTCGAATGAACTTCTCGACTGACAAGAAGAGGGCCTTCCTCGATTCCTGGCAGGGTTTCGGAATATGTTTCAGCTATGCTAATAGAGGTATCAACAAGTTTTCAGAAATTCACTCGAAACTTCTTTAATGAGAAGTATACAAGCATTTAGTATTTCAAGTTTTGGTAATAAATATGGCGTACTAACTACTATCAAGAGGTACATTTCTGGCATTAGGTTGGACACTTTACTCATAGGATTTTCATTAATAGTGAATTTAAGAATGGTTTATTTGGAACATGTCTTCCGACCATGACATTGAGGTTGCAGTTATGATACTTATTAGAAATAATACAGTATACCTAAATATGTATAGCAATATACACTGTGTTATTTTTAGAATTCGCCGAGACAAGCCGATTTTTGTTCTCGAGGAACTTTTTTTAGTTCTCGTCATCTTTATACACCCGAGGAAATTGCACCTTTACATATTGGCGATACATGTGTAGAAGATAATAAGTTAAAAGACACCATTAAGGACAGACAAAGGCAGTTAGATGCTTGTGCACATATTAGAAACGTATGTAACCTGCGCGTAATATAAAGTGGAGGGGAGTAGTTGACACGGCTTATCGCCGAATTTGAGTGGAACTCAGTACTTTTTCGCAGCTATGGATGTGTACATCGACTTAGCTGTATGAAACGAAATTCTTACGTAATTCTGACTTTTACAATTATCCCATACACTTAAAAGAAGTGTACGAACATAACTGTATTTATTTTCAAATTTTTGTTCGTTAACAATTTTGTTCGTTCGTGTTCGTATCATCGTACTATTACGTATTATTACGTATTATGTTTACTTCGTCCGAGCCTTCGTCGGATACGATATCCACGCTATCTTCCGGCATTTGATAGCGTTCGTAATAATTTCGATTCCGTATTGCGGTTGGCAACTATTCGGATTAATACGTAATAGTTTGATATTCGGATTGAAAGGAATTTTTAATACGTATTCTTACAACACTAGTAAATTTCGTGGTCTTTCATGTTCATGTCCGTAAACAGTTTGTTTTATTTGTTAAATATTTGTAAGGAACCTTTTATAAAAACTGGCCCAACGATGGAATCTCTTAAAATACCAAGCCAAACATTTAACTTCTCGGGATACTGCAAACGCATAGGAATACTCAAGTGCTTATTTTCCGTGGACCAATTACGATATAATGATTCAATTCACACATGCGCATTATAATTTATGGGCGGGGCGTCCCGCCTACATATTTTATTGCTACCCTATCACGAAAGGCAGAGAATAACGCTCATAAAAGTTTTAAAATGACATATCAGTCTGGCAACTATGGATATAATATTTCTCTGTCCTTTTACTTGAAGAGTTTATTCTTTTCTATCTTTTAATGCTCGGCTTTGAAATCTTGAACTTTCCAACCCTGTACGTCTATCACATCGACATCTCATCGTCACCTTGACACGTTTCTTCCTGTTAATACATGTTAGCAAGCATGTAAAAGTCGAGTTTGTATGCGTTTTCCTTGCATTGTTTTATCCAAAGCTTGCACGAGGAATCAGTCCAGAAATATGACATCACTTAATAAGTTCGTAGGATGGCTATAAAAATATCTTTAATGGCAAAATTCGACTTTATTCGTTAACATAGTCTCCTCCAACGCTGCTCTAACATTTTTATGCCTTTCTCATAGAACGATTTGTCCAACCCTTCAAAATAAGTTAATTTCATGTTTTTTTTGAGATTCGCGAATACGTAATAGTCGCTGGGGGCTAAATCTGGACAATACGGTGGATGTGGAAGCAATTCAACGAAGTGCAGTTCGTGTAATTTTGCCATTGTTGCGATCGACTTGTGACCCCCGGTGGATTGTTTTGGTAAAAAAAGCACTTTTTTCTTCTTCGTTTGGGGACGTTTTTTCGAGATCTCGTCCTTCACAGACACTAAAACTGCTATGTAATAAATAAAATAATAATAAAATAAATCACACCACAGAAATTGACATTCTCCCTCTAAGAGTCATTACAATTGTGCATAAGGAGAATATACATGGAAAAGACGTAGGATACACGACCAAACCCTGTGACAGGTGCCAATTGCCACAGGCGAGATTCGAACCCGCGCGGATAATAGCTCTCAATACTCACCTGGCGCTTTACCCACTGAGCTATCGCCGCGGCAAATAATTATACTAAATAATTACTAAATAATATTCACTATTAATTATAATTTTTCCTTTGTCAAGATAGTCGATGAATACTACACCACGCGCATCGCAAAATATGGCCCTCACAACCTTTTTTTGGTTTTTGATTTTATTGATGATTTTTTTTGGTCGCTTTGGACGGTTGCTGTCCACTCAGCTGATAGACGAGGAAATTTAGCATTTCACCTCCAAAATTTCCGCAGTAAGATGGATTTTGACGTAATTAGGCTCGTTGGATTCCTTGTAAAATTTTGAAAAAAATGTTACCAATTTTTGTCATATACAAATCAGAAACTGCATTACTGCACCTAAAAAATGCATTTTTGGGGTGCAATTTTTCCAGCCAATTAAAGAAAAAATCATATTTCGAGAATACATTGTCGAAACGGGGTGAATTTGGTTACTCGGGGGGTCACTGTTTTTTTTGGGGTCGCTGATCACGAATCTTATCAGAAATTGACCCCGATGAACCTGGGGACCAGGAACCCTGGTCCATCCCCGAGGTTTTCCCTCGAATTCGGCCTGAAACTAAACGAAAATGGTTACTCGGGGGGTTTTTGGGGTCGCTGATCATGAACACGTTGTTAGTTTTGTTGTCCGTTACACCTGGAGGACCAGGAACGCTGGTCCTCTGGTCGCCAGGCCCATCCACGAGGTTTTCCCTCGAATTCGACCTGAATCTAAACAAAAATGATCACTCGGGGGTTTTGGGTATTCTAGGGCGCCAGAAGAGGAGATCTCATCAGTCCAGTAAGCGAAACTGTTATGTGTTCTTGAGACTATAATAGGGCTAGTTTTAACGTTCCCATGTATTTTTTGTTTGCGTAGACCACAATGCGTGGGGTCCGTAGAGTTGAAACAGTCCGTTAATTTTTTAAATTAACAATTCGTGAAAAAAAAAGTTTTTTCTTTTACATTTTCGCTTAAGGTATCTCCGTTCCTTGGCATATTTTATATAGCATATGCATTTAAGAAGTTGTTGCCTATTGAATTTACAAAATTTTAAGTCCAACCCGAAGTCTTCAAGTGCAATTGTTAACTTGCAAATGACTGCTGAAGTTGAAAAAAGTGCTTTTTTTCACTATTTTTTTTACTTCGAAAGTAGGGCGACTATGAACATTAAATTTCTCGGAGAGACTGCTATGTGTAGTATGAAGTTACAAAAAAATTTCAACTCGAGCCGTTAATAACTTTTCGAGTAATTAGCGATCGAATTTTTTTTGCAAGCTTTAATTAACAATGACGCCATTTCTTTGTTTATTGTACGATATTGACCAGGTTGGGCTAGAAAAATCATAAATCTCTTCAAGTTTGCGAGACTTTTAGAGATTCTGAAAAAATATTAATTTGGGCCAGTTTTATAACGTTTTCTACGCCACTACCTTTTTTGACGCGACGTATGTTTTAGCGTTGCAGCTTCGAAATTCTCGGAATTGTGACTATAATATCGTGACGCCCATTTTTTTTAAATACGCGTCTTGAAGAGTACTTTTAAGATATTACAGTCACAATTCCGAGAATTTCGAAGCGAATGGGCCTGGTGACCAGGGTTCCTGGTCCTCCAGGTGTAACGGACAACAAAACTAACAACGTATTCATGAGCAGCGACCCCAAAAACCCCCCGAGTAACCATTTTCGTTTAAATTCAGGTCGAATTCGAGGGAAAACCTCGGGATGGGTCTGGTGACCAGGGTTCCTGGTCCCCAGGTTCATCGGGGTCAATTTCTGACATCATATTCGTAATCGGCGACCCCAAAAACTTCCGATTAACCAAATTCAGCCCGTTTCGACAATGTATTCTCGGATTATGATTTTTTCTTTAATTGGCTGGAAAAATTGCACCCCAAAATGCATTTTTTAGGTGCAGTAATGCAGTTTCTGACTTGTATATGACAAAAATAGGTAAAAACTTTTCTAAATTTTACAAGGAATCCAACGAGCCTAATTACGTCAAAATCCATCTTATTGCGGAAATTTTTGAGGTTTTGCTCTCTTTTGTGCTAAATATCCTCGTCTATGACTACCGATTTGATTCTGGAGTGCAGTGATGGATTCATGTTTCACCCATTGTCACATATCGCATGAAAAAATCCTTTATATTTTGCCTACACAGTTCCAAACAGCGCTCTGAATCATCAACATGTTATTGTTTTTGGTCAAAAGAGAGCAAACGCGATACGCACTTTGAACAGAGCTTTCTCATGGACAAATGTTCATGCAAAATAGTGAAACACTGCTTTCTAATATCTTGAAGGTGTCAGCTATATCAGGCAACTTAATTTCTCTTAACTGAAAGACATGAAAATGTCTAGTATTTTTTTTTTCAAAATGGCTCAGTTAGTCATATAGATACTCCTCATCTAGATCATATAGATAGAAGATTTCCTTTTAATACGAGTCAAAAAATTTTTGAAAAATATTTAATATTGTAGGAGTTATTCACGATGTTTTGAAAACATCGCAATTTTACTCTTTTGGCGATACTTTTTCACGTAATCAACTTGGGATTTTTTAAACGCAGAATTTCACCAACTGTAATTTTATTAGTAGCAAAAAAAGCAATACTGTAGTACAAAAATTATCTGAATTTAAACAACCTTCAGAAAAGGGGTGTATGATAACTTTCGGTGTTCATTGCAGGTCTATTTATAATATTGTCATATTATACACCATACCACGTGCCTAGTACTCACTTCAAATCTGTCGTCTACATCGAGTGAATACTGCATAAAATCTAAAATACATCGATTCCATTTTACTCTGACATGTTTATGTCCTAGAATAACGCGGACCTATTTGCAATAATGATTTCCTATTCCCTATAAATGTTTTATTTTGACGAATCGATCCATCATCCAGTTGAAAGTACACGTACATACCTAGGTAAACAGCGGTATCACAACAATCAAGGTTTGGGTAAGCCAAGGGACTATACCGGTGGAAACTTTAATGGAATATATTCGCAGCGGGGTGGTGAATGATTTTTCAAAAAATTCTCTAGACAGAAACTTTTAAATGTATTTACCTACATTTTGCAAGGTTTGTGTAATAGCTTTGTTTTTTTAAAGGCAACCCTATGGCTTGTGACCCCTCATTGTAAAGCTGGTGGAAAGAGGAATCAACGCACTGATCAAATTTTAATTTTTAGTATGTTGTAGGTACATGCAATAAAACGCAATTTTGTTTATATTTAATTGTAAAATGTGTGTTGTTTAGTTTTGGAATGTAAACCTTACTTTTCATATGTCCCCAAAAAAATCCTAAGAGGTATTCACAACTGATTGTATTAGTTTTTATACGCCGCAAATATGAGGAGTGTTATTTCAAATTGGTGAAAATGTCTTATTTAACTGATCACTAAATACGAAATTTTGATGATGATTGGATATGGTGTACGAACCAAGGTTCCAGCTTGTTTCGAGAAACGCAAGTTCCACTAAATCAAGGTACCATAGTAAGGCATATGGAGATGGGTCATGTCAGGAATACGAAGTAGGCAGGTTGTTGATGACGACACGAAGTTGAATTGTTGCTTGCTCTAATGAAACACTCCAGCCCGGCAACGGTAGACTTGATCACAAAACAGTTTAAAAAATACTTAAATATACCAATAAAATGCAAGCTGTCGGCACTTGAAGAGATCCAGGCGGATTTATTGATGACTGTATTGACAAAACCAGTTATCTTTAGGTGGAAGTTTTCTCTGACGAGCTACTTCATTAAATGGGCACGTAAATCGCCAAAATTGTTTGGAACTTGTTTCGAATCTTGAATTGTAGGACCATTTCTTGATGACACTCTTAATGAGCAAATACTTGCGTTTACCCAGACGACCAATGCCAGTTTTTTCTCAACCCCTGAACCCTAACTTGACCGACGAAGGTTATGGTTTCAACAAAGGGCCCCACCACACTATGTGCCATTGTTCGTCAATCTGGACAGAATTTTTCCCGGTAGGTGGATGGGAGGCGAGGTAATATTGAGTGGCCTGCAAGATCTCCAGATCTTACACCACTGGTTCGTGGGAGAGGGGTTGTTCGAAACCCAACAACATAGCAGAGCATATCAAATCGGGAAAATAAACGCAAATGTTGCAAATGTAAGGGCGAACCACCAGCTGGGATGCTGCCAACAAGAGCACATTTTGAACAATTGTTACGTTGAAAATAAATTTAATTTTTAAATTGTTTTAATTGTATGAATCAAAATACAAAAATTAAAATTTGTGTCCCTCTCCATATTGTCGAGGTGGTTTCATCCACCCCTGGGCTATATTTTTCAATACTTGCAAAGGGGGTAATTAAAAGTTGACGGTCTCGGAATTTTTGAAAAATTTACCACCCCGCTAGAATATATTCCAGTTAAAGTCTCCACCGTGTATAGTTGTACGTACGCATCGCATTGTAAATCCAAGAGGTATTCACACGATACGTTATAAGATATGATGGACCTTGACACAACACGAAATAGCGTGATTTTCCATTGTGTGTAAATTAAGTAATGACATTGGCAACGTAGCGTCCGATCTTCAACACTGCGGAGACGGGACTTGGAAAGGCGGTAAGTGTTAACACGTAATGCACCTTTAGTACAAGTTTGAACTTGTTTGAGTCATTGTTTGTTCTTTGTGACTATTTTCGAAATTCGGTTTTATCTAGTGCGTTGTAAAAATGAGCAACAGTGTTTTTTCTCAAGAACCCAGGTTTTTCGGTGGTTTAAGGAATTTTCCAGAAGGAAGAGAGCGATTGAAGATGAACCACGCAGCCGAAGCGGCTTCTCAACCCCCCCTTCAAGAACCGATGAAAATGTAGATAGAATACGAGATCTTGTGAGTTCAGATCGTCGGTTGAACGAAGAATGATCGGGAAAGAGCTAAATTTTAATCACACCACTGTTTATTAGATTTTGACTAACGGGTGGGAAATTCTCGAAAAATGGTTCCAACAAACCTTTCGCAGGAACAAAAGGACAAAA